ACTCTAAGAAAATGACTGACAGTGGTGGGAAAGCATGGGGGGTGGGGAAGGGAGATGGGATTAATGGTAGTAAATATCTGTCTGGGGATGGGGAGACACCTCTTATCAACAAGGGTGCCTGAACGAAGCATATTTGTATACCTAACCCTTAACTGTACCCCACAATATCATAATAAAAAATATTGATTAAAAAAATAATTAAAAAAGACCAGAAAGAAAAATGTAGCACAACTGGTGTGATATTGAAAACAAAGTGAGATATTACACTTCAATATTTCAGTTTTTACATTAAAGCAAATGGAATGAATATTTCAACTTAGAAATAAAATGGTCTGATTGAATTTTAAACTCAATCAGATGGTGCTTTCAAGACCATGCCTTAAATATAAAGATACAAAAAGGTTGAAAATAAAAGATCATAAAAAATGTGAGGGAGGATCCCCTCAAAGAAAAGAATTATTTTTTGGAAAGCAGACCCCTTGTGGTACAGGCTTCCCTCACTAGGTGAGTGTTCTTGGAATCTATTGGCATCAGCGTACCAGTTAGTGTTGTGACAGGCTGCGTTTAGCTTCAGCGAATGTTTTCTTGGAGATTCTTTCAATGTGTTGGCCCATTTTATGATGGGTGATTTACCAATGCACCTGACCATTCCACACTAGGTATTCAAGAGTTTTTGACCAAAAATGGCAAGACCCCTGCACCCTACCCCCTATTTACCCACTCTCTCCCTGAGCTACTTTTTTGTTTCCCTGGATGAAAAAAGTCCTCAAAGGCAAACGTTTTGCCGATGTGGAAGAGGTGAAGCAGAAAACAGCAGAAACACTAACAGCCATCAAAACTGAAGAATTCAAAACTGATTTGAGCAGTAGAAAAAACATTTGTATTGCATCAAATGGAGAGTACTTTGAGGGAGACTGAAGTTTAAACTTGTAAGAATAAATGTGTAATTTTTAATAAATAAATTCCAGGTTTTTTTTTTAGTCGTCTCTCATATACTGTGTAATTTAGAAAAAGCTACACCAAAAGATAAGTGCTATAGAAATACTAATTACAAAGTAGACTTTAAAGAAAGAAGCATCGCTGAAGACAAAGAGAAACATTTCCTTATGATAAAGGAGTCTATCCACTAGGAAATTGTAAGAATTATTGATCTGTAGGCACCTAACAAAACATCCTCAAAATAATGAACCAAAATTGATGGAACAAAATAAGAAAATATAAAGCACATCCATTTTAACACACTTTTATCCATGCTTGATAGAATAAACAATCCTCAAATCAATTAAGTATAAAACATTTAGGTAACACAAAAAATGACCTAATTGTCATATACAAATTATTGCAAAAACAAACAAAAAGCCCCACAGAAAACAGCAGACTATGCATTATTTTAAAGTGTTTGCAGCCTTTGGGAGGCTGAGGTGAGTGGATTGCCTGAGCCCGCGGGTTTGAGACCCGCCTCAGCAGCGAGACCTCATCTCTACAATAAATAAAAAAATCAGCCGGTCGTGGTAGCGCATGCCTGTAATTCTGGCTACTTGGAAGGCTGAGGTGAAAGGATCACCGGAGCCCAGCAGGCAAGGCTGCGGTGGCCAGGAGTGGCCACTGCACTCCAGTCAGGGCGACAGAGTGAGACTCCAACTCAAAAAAACAAAAACAAAAACAAATAAAGTGTTTGCAAAAGGTATACCAAAATCTACAATATGGTTGGACATAAAGCACACACATTAACACATTTCAAAAGACTCAAACCATGCCACATATCCATCTGGCCAAAGCAGCATTAAAACTGGAAGTTAATTATAAAATCAGAGTACAAATTTGAAAATATTTTGAACTGGAGGATAATTAATAAAATAAAATATAAAAGCTGTAGACTACAATTCAAGTCATGAGGAGAGTGAAATAGTCTATTTATATTAGAAAAATAAAAAACAATATATATGCATGGAAAATTTTATAAGGTATAGTAAATTAACACTCCTCAAAGAAGTAGAGGGAAGTGAATAATAAAGATAAGTAGAAATCAATAGATTAGAAAAGTGGTAAACAATGAAATCAACAGTCAAAATGTAGTTCTTTGAAAAGTCTTTAAAAATTGAGACTCCTAGTAAAGTGATAAAGATAAGATAATTAACAAAGGACTTATATAAATAAAATAAAAACTCTAATAAATATGTAAAAAAGATAGATAATTCCATTTTAAAGCAGAATATATGAAAATTTCTTCACAGAGAAATACATTCAAAATACCCACAAGCAAGTTAAAATGTACTCAATTTTATTAGTCATTAAAAATGTACATAAAACCACAATGACTTATTAATATAAATCTTCCAGAATTACTTTTAAAAACAAAACAAATGACAATACTGAGCTATATCAAATATTTGCTAGAATGTGGAGCAATTGTGTATTTTAGGTGGAAGTAAAAATTAGTACAATTGCCTTGGAAAATATTGGCAGCATTTATTAAAGGATGAACTAGGTGCCTAACCTATAACCTATTTATTTCACCTTTGTGTAATCAAAAGAAATGTGTGAATATGTGCATAAAAATACATGTATTAGAATGTTTATTACAGCATTATTCATAATTGTTCCAAGATAGAAATAGCACAAATGGTCATCCACAGTTGAATGAATTTTAAAAATTGTGGCAAAGTTGTACAGTGGGATTCTGAACAGCAGTGGAAATGAATGAACTACAGCCAAAGAAAACAATATAACTGTCATTCATAATTATGTTGAGTGAGAGAAAAACACAAAAGAATACCTACTAAGTAAGGACATTTGCATAAATTTCAAAAATAGACTAAACTAGTCTATAATGTTAAAAATTAAGATAGGGCTTACTATGGGGAAGGTGCCTTAAAAGAGATTTCTGGGATGCAGGCAATGTTATTCTTGCTCTTGGGGTTACATGAAAGTATTTGCTTTGTGATCAATCACCAAGTTGTGCATTTATGATTAATGCATTTTCTTGTGTATAATATAAATCAATATAAAAGTCCATTATAAAACCAAACAAAAATATAAATACTCATTGCTTTGCACAATAGTGCAGGCCCATAAATGAGACAGTGCAGTATGAAACTAGAAAATCAATGGAGAAATTATAATTGTTTCATGACTTCTTTTTTTAAAAATTTTTTTTTAATTTTAAACATGTGGGGTACAATTCAGGGTTAGGTATACCAATGTTCATTATGCAGGTACCCTTGTTGATGATGTTCTGCGACTTCTAAAAATGTTTTGCCAAAATATTAAATATTATCTTACCATTGGTTATAAATGTAGAGAAAATTTTAAAATAATAACACTAATATTTATTTACTACCTTATAGTTTAAAACATTAGAAAAAATTAAGATATGTTCTTTGTTTAAAAAAAGTGTCAAGAGTAATTTGACTAATTCTTGGCACTTTCCTATTGTGTAATTTAGGATAGACAGCAGATGTCTTTTCTAGGGCTTGTTGAATTGATATACTTTTTTTCCCCTTTTTTTCCTATTTGAGTCAGCTTCCAAATATCGCTCAGAGGTTCTTTCATATGAAACTTTGTTTTTGTTTGGTTTAGTTCTTTGCCCACCTTACTTCCTCTGGGACATCTTTGTTTTTTTGTTTTGTCCATCACATTCCTTTTCCTCATTTATGCTGACAATTCGCCTTCACTAAGTATCACTGACTGCATACATATACCCAGAGTCAACATTCGCATGACCAGCTTTTTCTTTCATAACTCCATTTATATTTATTTTGAATTTTACTTCCAGCATTATCACCTTTAGCTTCTTTGTTTCACTTTCATCTATGTTGGCCGATTGCCTCTTCCAAATATCCATTTTGGTAAAATTGATTTTTTAAATCCATTTTGTTAAAAAATCACTTGAACACAAGAAAGCAACACAATTGTATGCTTTGCTGTCTGTACATAAGCTGAATAACAGATGCTCAGTGTCAAATCACTGGCAGACTTTGAAAAAGTGATTGGTTTGTCACTGACTATGTCGCAAGTCTGTTATTTACCTAGAAATCTGAAAGTCTGAAAATCTAATAGAAACGTTTGTACTTTATGCAGTTACTCATATTAATATACTGTGGTAATTGCGATTTGAACCATGCTGTCAGGGAACTTGTACTATTTAAATAAATCTTGGTAACTAAAATTTAGGCCTATTGTAATCATGAAAAGCAAATATTTCCTGTAATTTAAAAAAACTTATCTTTTGCTTTCCTTGTGTGATAAGACTCATCAGATTTTATTATAATTGCTTATCTACAACCCTCCCAGCTGTTATAATTTATCTACATTTGTTGAATGAATGATCCATGACTTGGATACCCACTATAAGACTCTTATGCTGACTTGAGAAGTGACCTCTAGTGGTCCTAGAAAATGTATTTTCAATTAATTTTATACATATTAAAATAGCATGTATATTCAGAGTACCAATATTTACTAACGGACTTTTTTAAGAAAAATTTAACTTTATTGAACATGGTAATAGATGGACTTTCAAATCAATTATTTTTTGCTTTGCTGTTATTACTTTTGTAAGCCATTTGATCCATGGCAAAACTTACTAATTGGTACTATACAAAGATGTGTGTCTATTCTTGTCAAGTTTATAATTCATATCTATTCTGTATTCACAAACAAATATATTTAAAACCTAGATAGAAACATCTGTGACTGGATTGTTAGTGCATGGTAACACATGGTATATGCACTGCTGAAGTTGCAATAGGGGTTGGCTGATCCATAACAACCTTCAAGCACAGTTACAGACTCAGATTGCACTCTTATTCCTATATTGGTGGGAGCTGATGTAACTTAAAGATAAGCAAATAGTTTTTCTCCTACCTCTTAGCTGAACAAAAATATATACAATGTAGCATTTTCATTAGGCAAGATTTGCCTTCTACATTTCACATGAGAATGTAATATAACCCTTTCTTCAACAAAATGATCAAGGTACTAATGAAGCCATCTTTGCAAGAAGTGTTTAATAAGCATATTTTATTTTCATAAATCCTCCAGTAGGAAATGGAGAATTCACTGCCTTTACTTAGAAGAAGGCTTGTAAATAGTTATCTTGTAAATTTGCATGTGAAGCTCACCAACATTCCCTTATTGGAAACATCAGTATTTCCACATTACAGTTCACAATCAGACTTCAAAGTCTCAAAATTCTGTGTCTCTTGCTTCTCTCTTGACTACACCCAGGCTTTATTAATGGCTCACTTCATGTCATTATCTCCATCTTCATAAATTTTCTTTAGAACATTCTCAACCCCTCACTAGGATCTGTTTCAGTGTCATATGAAGGCTTTTCTTTTTCTTTGCACGCTTTTTCAACCTGAGCCAGGTAGTCCCACCTAGTGTTTTCTGCTTTCTTTCTACATAAGAACTGTATCATTCTTGACTTTTTTTGGAACTGCCTTCCACAGAGATAGGTTTCAGGAGATTATTCACAATCATGGAGTAACTCTTCCCATTGAGATTCTTTACCAGAAGACCAAAAGACTTTTCTGTGAAATGCACCTGCACATTCTCAGTAGGAACCTGATGAACTCCAGTTAAGGTAATGTAGATTTTTACAAACTTATCTGACTGATCCCATCCATAATTACTGATTTTCACTGTGCATCCTGTTGTAATGGGATCAACCACAGCAGCTGGCTTTTCATTGTCAAGGACTTCTGTTTTCTTCTGTGGTTTCTGTTGCATCTTGTTCTTGATTTCTCCCTCAATCTTGGATTTTTCAGTTGTAAGGGCATCACGTACTCTTTTCCTAGTGGCTTTTTCCAGCAATTCCTTTACCTCTTCCAGCTCTTTCTGTAGGTCCTCTAGGGTCACAGCCATGGTCGGTGGCCAGGCCTCAGCCATGCAGGAATTGCCACCCGAGCATGCCCCGCCAGAGTGCAGACCCCCCAGACTTTAATTAAATGCCAACTAGGTCAGACATTTTCTTGGTGATTAGTAGTTATATATCAAGGAGATAAACTAGTCCTCCTCAGGGAGCTTACATCATATTGGGGAAATAGCTGTGTTACCTTAGGCTACAGAATAAAGGCAGCTCATACTTGCCTCTTTTTGTCATTAACATTATGACACCCATGCTGGGTCTTCTAAAAAAAACAAGCCATAATTTCAGTCCTTGCTGAGCTGCTACCCAAGGCACAATGGTGTTCTCACTACACATGGAGACATATTACAGAACAGGAAACTACTGACCATTTATACCCTTGATCCTGCATGGCCACTCACAGCTTTCTATGGTCCCACCCTACCCTCACTGAATTGCCTTTCTAATGGGTAGATCCCTTGGAGCAAGGAGAAGAACACTGAAAAGGCCAGTTCTAACTTGCCATGTAGGCTGTTTCCTCCTCCTCAAATGCTTTTCCATAAGGTGTCCTCCACCCCTTTCACCTAGTCAGTACCAACTTCTTTAGAGCAAAGATTCTTGACCCTACAGTCTAGGTCAAGAATTCCCTCAGATATTCTTATAGTAGCAAAAACCTTTTCTTCTCAGCATGCATCACAATTCGCAATTATATATTATTTGTGTGAAGATTTGATTAATGTCTGTCTCCCAATAAATGCTCAGCTCATAAATTCACAGTACCTGGAACAAAGAGCAAACGCTCAACAGATATCATAGCTTAATAAAGAACTTGGCTTGTGGTTAAGCCAGATTTTAGACATAGGAATGTGATAAAAGAGAAATTGTTCTTTGCCTTTCAAATTTATTTTCTGATCATTGCCATTTAGTCAGAGTAGAACTGGTGTTTGAAGAAGTTTTGTCATTACATCATTTCTGGCCTTAATCCCATGACCTTATTTCTTCTCCTCTGCTCAAGAGAACATATTGTATAAGGTCAGCAAGATGGATCTGAAGCCCTAGTTTAATGTCTTCCCTTGCCAAAAAAAAAATCACTTCTGCTCTGGGGCACACACCTGCTTCTTCCTTCTCTGCCAGCTCTGTGAGATAAGGTAAATTAGAATTGCTCCTCTTTCCAGGGCTGGTGGGATGAAAACCTCTAGTTTCTATTCAATGGGCGCTTACTAAGAGTGCAGCACAGGGCCAAATGCAACAGGCGAACCAGTTGTGAACCTAAGAGTTCACCTTTCCCCTCCCATATCCAATCAATAAACAAATTATATTGGTTTAAATTCCCAAAGCCTGTATTAATCAATTCCCTTCCTTTGGTCTTCATCACCCAAGATCGAGCCACCATTTACCTTTGCCTTAGTCTCCTAAGTGTCCCAGCATCCACTCTGGCTCTCTATAGCTGTTTCCACTGAAGCTGAGAGGTATGTTCAAGTGATAAACCTGATCTTTTTGCCACCCCAAGTCCCACATACTTGTTCAAAGTCCTACAATGTTCTGTAATTGTTCTTAAGAGAGGAAAAAAAGCCATACTGTAGCCCATGAGGTCCTGCAAACTCCTGCCTAGTCTTTTGGCCTTATCTTATGCCACTCTTACCCTACTCTCTGAGCTCCAGCCACTGTGGCCTTCTTTAGGTCTCCTGAAGGAATGGTGCTCCTATTCATTTCAGAGCCTTCACACATACATGCTGATCTCTTTATCATGAATGTTCCTCTCATTCCCAAGTCCATGCCTCCCTGTCTGCTTGATTCCTCCTTCATTTGCAATTATCACCTCAACTATCACTAATAAATTGCAGAGTTGGAATTTGAATCCAAGTCTCTCTGTCTCTAAAGCTGGTGATATTCTCACTACACATTGTTTCCTACTAGAAAAGAAACAGGACATGGTGGGCAAAACACATGGGCCATATGCTAGATTGAAATTTAGGAAATGCTTCTGATCTAGAGTCTTTCCCAGGATCTGCCTTTCTTTTCTCCTAAAAACAGTAACTGCTAGCTTAGCTATTTATTTTTTTCTCCTTCAGCATCATCTTTTCCATTCAAGAGTTTCTCTACTTGGGATGATGGTAGGACTAAAATTTAATGGAAAGAACGCTATTTGGGGTGTCAAGTAAATTGGGTGCAGGTTCCAGATGTGAACTCACCAGCTATGTGAATACGCTCAAATGACATTACCATACTCAATGTGTCAGTTTGGGTTCTCCAAGAAGCAGACACTAAGACAAGGTTAGATGTACCTGTCAAGGTTAAAGGGAGGATGCAGACGCCTTCAGACTGCAATACAGATCTGACATCTATGAAATGATCAGGGAAAGAAAAGACAATTGCACCTGAGTTATAAGAAAAGTTAGGCCAGGCTGATGGAGAATCCTGGAGTCAGGATATTTGCAAGAGGAGTCCCATGTTCCAGAGAAATAGATCCCCACTCTGAGATCTTGACTTAGTCATTGACTGGGAGCAGACAGGGAGGGAGGCATGGACTTGGTGTGAGCATGGGGATGGGGTTGGGGGCTGGAGATGTGAGCCAACTATGGTCCCCTCAGTGGGAGATATGAGTGGAACAGTATCACACTCAGCCTTAGTTTCTTTATCTGCAGATAAAGACTGTATACTTAGTGATTCCTGGTGTGACTTTGAGCTTAGAAATTGTGAGATCTACACTTGTTTTACATCATCTTGTTTATTTATCCTTTTCTAACTTTGAAGTATATTTTTTTCTGGTAGTAACCAGAGAAAAAAGAGTAAACAATATAAGCAAAGTGTTATTTTAATAAAACTGAATTTTTTTTTCTTCCCTTGATTAAGCTTTTAGTACCATGGTAAGGACTCCTGTATCTCTAGGATCTAGCAAAATGAACACCACATCATAGATGCTCACTTTTTTTTTTTTTTTTTGACTAAATGTCTGAACTGGAATAAAACCCAGTCTAATTTGTTTGTTTGTTTGCTTGCTTTTGAGTAGGAGCCTCACTCTGTTGCCCAGGCTGAAGTGCAGTGCTGTGCTCACCATCACTGCAGCCTTGGCCCACTGGGCTCAAGCAATCCTTCTGCCTCAGCTTGCGAAGTAGCTGGAACCACAAGCATGCACCACCACACCCAGCTAATTTGTTTATTTATTGTAGAGACAAGGTCTCATTAAGTTGCCCTGGCTGGTCTCAAACCCCTCTGGCAATCCTCTCGTCTACACCTCCCAAAGTGCTGGGATTACAGGTGTGAGCCACCACTCCTGGCTAGTTCTGATTTTAGAAACATCCACTCATTTAAACCTCTAGGTTTTCTTTCTGGAAAAGAATACCATGTAGATATACTTTTGCACTTGTTTTGAAAACTGGGGCTCCTAAATCTCTCTACTCAGGGGTATGTTCACCTCCTTCACCTGTTCCAAACAAAAAGGCTCAAGTAACACTATTAGAAAATCTCCTACCAATCTCAATGAATCCTATTTTTCCTTGAGACAAATAGCCTTTAATTATCTCCTTACATATGGCCCCTGTTCAAGGGACTCACAGTCCAGTTGAAAGATAAGGCATGGGTAAGTAACAAATATGAGATACATCATAATCAGGACTGTGAATGCAGCAGCAGTTATTGCCAGACATTGTAGTGAGTGCTTTACATAGCTGGGGGCCAGATACTATAAATGAGAAAAGGGAATTGCATGGGACTCTCAAGTACAGAAGAGCTTTGCCTCAGATGAATGGGAGGATGGGCAGCCACTATTCTGTGGCAGCTGTTTTCTACCATGGGGGAATGCAGGTCCAATGTTGCAAATCTTCCTTTGGGGTAGGAGGAGGAGAAGTAGGGAATAAAAAATTAAATATGAAATATATCCATTTTATGATAATGGGTACTGGTTTTTAAAAGTTCAAACAGGGTGCAGGCAAAAACAAAAACAAAAATGCCCACATTTTCTAAGCAAATTTTGACCTTGGACATTTTAGAAACTGTGAAATAAACAATGCCATTTAATTATCACTGAGTGATAAATATAGACTTTAAATATTGCACAAGTTGAGAAAAGGAATCAATAATTTTGTTGTAATAAGTCTGATAGAAGAGATTAGTCTTAAGTTGATCCTTGAGAAATGAATATCATTTACATAGGCAAAGGGAAAAGAAGATGTTTCAGACAAGAAGAAAGATGTGTGAGATGAAGTTCTGACTAGTAGGAAGGAGAAAAGCATTTTTCCAGTGATGAAAGAAATAGGACTGGACAGATGAAGATGAAAAAAATTGAGGAGAACATTGTTACCTTTACAGCATCATCTTTGGAACTGATGGTCTGGAAACACCTATCACACATGGACTAGCCAAGTTCTAAGAGATGAAAGGGTGGGGCAAATCTGAAGTAGATGAAGATATTGAAATGAAGAAAGGGCATTGTTCTGCCAGAGTACAGATAAGCAGGAGGTAGGGTTCTGCTGAAAGGAAAGGCCTCCTGCACTCCAGATGCTCATCCAATATTTGTCAAACAGAATTAAACCCAGAGGTAGTAGAGAGTAGAAGAAAAAGTGTCCCCTGGAATTATTTAACAATCCATTTCAAGTTTGCCAGTCAATTCTTTTAGCAAAAAAAAAGAGAGTGGGTGGCGAAAAGGAGATCAAGACCTGGAGGAACAAAGATAAATGGAAAAGTAAGATCGAGGTGGGTAGGTCCAGGAAGAGAGAGAGAGAGAGACTGGAAACGAAACAAAGATCTGGCAAACAGTGGAGAAAGTTAAGGACAAGTTTTCAGGGATAATCACTAAGGGCTCAAGGTGACTTTTTCATACATGTACATGAAGACACCTTAGAATAAAACCAGTAAGTCTTGTATGTTTGTAGGAGGGAAATAAGAAAACAGGGTAGAGAAGAAAGACAAAATGGAGAAGAGAGAGAAGGAAAAGAGAGGGAGAAGAAAGAGAAGAGAATATGTGGAGGGATGGAGCAGGGAAGGAGAAAGAAGGAGAGAGTGGGATAGAGATTGATTCATGTGGGCAA